TACCTTCCTTCTAGTATTTAACAATACGTTCGTTCTATAAAACTGCATTAGAAAACAATAGATATCCTTTAAAGATATCATTAAATTACTAGTCACGATTTCTGTAGCCATATTTGTTATCCACTATTTTTTAAAGGTATAATTAAATACATAGTTATTTTATCAGCAACACTGAACGTAGGTCAGTCAACAACAGATATTAGTAATGATGTTGCTACAATTTACATAATATCTTTATTATCTATATCGACTTTATCAGTACGCTCTTGACCGACAGCTATTTAGTGATCGATAAACTAAAAAACACTAGGATCAAAAGGCCCAAGTACTGTTCGGTGGAAATCGATGTGTTAGTTGCGTTGGCCCTAGGATCGAACCTTGTAGCACACCAGTATTCACTTTTAATGCTATTTTTTTATATAGAGTGGAATTACTCAAGAAGTGCCTTTGGCGCGGGTATTCCCTTCTATTTTATTATTTCAGATGACAATAAATTTTTACAATTGAAGTACAAAAGTGCTACTTATTCCAGTTCGTTTTTTTTCAGTAGACCTGAAACAGAAAGAGTAATTAAGATTAAGTGTGTAACAAAAGAAGAAAATATGGAATTAGACAAAAGACACTTAAACTGAAATAAAATAATAACTAGGTACTTATAATATACAATATTTAAAAAATGCTTAAGTAATATATAATGATGTTATATAAAATACAGATATAAATGAACGACTCGGTACTCATGAGGAAAGGTTAGTCTTTTATTTGTTTTTTTTAAGACTGGGCTAGATTAAGCGTCTCGAATGTTAGGTGGGAGGGAATTCCAGTCTCTTTTTAGTGCTAATCAGTTGTGTTATTGGTAGGCATAATAACCTCTCCATGATAAAATATAATAACACAACATGACAGTCACGGAACATCCTTTAATTAAATAGTCACGGAATATAGGTAATAATGCTATAATGATTTCAGAAATAATTATTCAGTGTAATAAATAATTCATGTAAGCCATGGATTTCCTCATCTTGCAGAAATATATCATCTTGCTTTTCCCAACAGAAGTACCAAGGGAGATACAGTTACAAAGCGTTATGATTGCAGGATTATTTTTAGATCCAAATAAGCAAATAAGTATTATCTAACCTCAACGTCAAAGTCAAAGCATTTATTTCAATTAAATTCAAATTCAAATTCAAATTCAAAGTCTTTATTGCTTCATGTGTGGGTACCAAGGTGTTATACATAATACATATGATTTTGGTTAAGCAGTATCAACATGACCCTGTAAGGGCGCTGCAATTTATATTTAATAATAAAAAACACTATATTATTCAAAGATTGTACATAACATTTAAAGTTTTACCACGATTGCTTCAATTGATTTTCGTTTACATTCTACCTACATATTATACATATCTACCAACTCTTTATTAATCCCTAATTAAGCACTTTTCAAACGTCACTATGAATGAATGTTTCAAACATAGTGCTCACTTAGGCTAGGCTACTATAAAAATAAAAATACTTGATGAAGTCTTTCAAATAAGAACATAAAGAAATGCTCGATGCCACAAGATATCTGGCCCTGATCTATAGTGTGATCGTGACGTCATTTTAACACTGTCGTGACAATTTTATGGTATCATAATGCAGCTAACATCTGTTATCTTTTAGTGCATTTGTGCGTCTATAAACAACAAGGTCGATTGAATTAGTATACTGATTAGTAATTGGTAAACAATGCAAGGAGGTTAAATATTATGTCATTAATGTAGAGCCTATAGTTTGTTTAATTACCTGCCTGATCAATTGTCGTTCGACGCCGTTAGTAAGGGTTTTTTAAGGGCAGAAAATCATCGAATTGCTGCTCCCGCCTAGGTGAAGCGGGAGGGAGTGTCAGCCTCTTACTGACTAAAAACCACCCCGTTCCTTGCCGTTAGTAAGGGTACCGACCCAATACCGTTAAATTGGACAGCTTTCTTCGTCTGAGAGTCCCCATTTCCTCTAGCTAACTAGTGCATATAGATTCGTCGCTCTGAAACCTGAAAAGAGGTTATTTCTGAGATTGTAGTCTATAAGTAATCGATTTTAGTCTATAAACCTACGAACGGCAAGTACCATTGTGACTTTTCCGAGTTATATACATTCTAAGATTATCTAGACACCACTGACAAACGGTGAAGGAAAACAGTGTAAGGAAACCTGGGCTTATAATTCTGTAATATAAGTTTGTAATCGCTAACCCCCATTGAGCAAGCATGGTGATTAATGCTGAAACCAACAGCAGTGGCCGCTTATAGGCTGTTGATGATGATGATGATAATCGATCTTAATCAGCAGCATGCAATCATGACACCAGTTAGACAATCACGGTGGACGCCATTCTTAATGAAATGTTAAACTATTTCAAAGAAATAAGTAATCAATTACAATTTGATAAAAACGCCATTAACTTACGATTCCAAAAAACTGTATACACAGAAAAGGTGGAATTCTAGAAATATCATTTCTTGAGCATTATTTAAGTTGTTATTGATCACGCTAACCTAGAGTTATAAGATTAATGAACAATACCTAATTGCTAAGACCAATTGATGAGATGGTCGTTTTGATTCATGATGTAATAGTATTGCAATTATTTCCTGGGTAAATACAATGGGAAATATATTATAGGTACTTATAAAACTTATATTTTTATAGTAACTCTCGCGAGACACGAGATAATACTGAGCTTGAAGTGGTATCCAGTGGGTGACAATAAGTTCACCCACTATGTAAAAAGTAAGTTTTATATAAAAACTAGCGACCCGCCCCGGCTTCGCACGGGTGCAATATGTATATACATACAAACCTTCCTTAAGAATCACTCTATCTATTAAAAAAAACCGCATCAAAATCCGTTGCGTAGTTTTAAAGATAGAAAGCATACATACGGACATACAGCGAAAGCGACTTTGTTTTATACTATGTATTGATAACGGTTTGCTACCGGTACGGTACACAATTAGGTATAGTCGACCTTGAAACTTTATAATAAAATCTAGTTGACATTGAGTGAATTATTTTTATCTCTCAAGGACAAATGAGTTTATGACAACATTCCTAATATGTTTGAACTAAATATGGTAGGAGTTACACTGGCAAAATATTTACAAATCTATGTCTTATTACAATGCATTAAAGTCGAAAAAATATCTAGGTACTGAATGAAACTGATAGCATTTTTTTCCTCATGTTAAGTTTATTTTTTATTTTGAGTCAGAAATAAACTTAACATGACAATCGTGATAATACTCGGTTTCTCCTTCTCTCCTCATATCATTTTTTTTTACAAATTAAAGTACCTACTTGTCCTGAGAATTTTTTCATCTAACCATGAATCATTAAATTACCAATATTTGGGTACAATTGATTGGTATCTGACGTTAAAAATAAATAAAGGAATAACAATAACAACATAACAGCAGGGAAGTCACTGAAACCGGTAGTTAAACACTCAAAACCTTCGTTAACAAACACACAATGCATTGTTAACAAACACTCTAACGATTGTTAACAAAGTGACTACTAAAATACAATTGACATCATTTACTTTATCAGTTTTCTGTGTAACATCTGTGAAGTGATGCAATTTATTTGATAAACTGTCCGTGTGTATGTTTATCGCGAACTTTGTCGCTGTTTTGGATTCGAACTCGCTCTATTTACTTTAGGTATATAGATCTGATAACGATTATTACGAAGTTTGTTGTAAACATGGACTTGTGTTTAGTGAAAATGAGAGTGTTGTTTAAGTGTTTTTTAAAAAGATTTCATCGGAAAAGAAATGCAAAAGTCGTGGAAGTTACTGAGGTAAAGATTAATTAAGTTTTTACTCTTACACACGAGCGGTTTGTTGCCAACGGCAGAGGTGACTGCGGCCGTCGACACGTGTCAGCGGCAACCGCTGACGCGTCGACGGCAACAGTCGACCTATAGAGACTCCTGCAATTGTAGCATTCTTCGAAGTTAAAATAAGACAGTTACCGTCGACGCATCGACGGCTGCCACCGACACGCCTCAACGGCTGCAGTTACCTGATTACCTTTGCCGTTGGCAACATGCCGATCGTGTGTAAAGGTGCTCCCACATAGCATTTATATATCTAACGTTAGAGTCTGACTTAACATTTGTTTTTAAACAAATTATAACAAAAGTTTTAGTAGTAACTTGATAAGTTGCAGAGTAAGTTACACGCTATTATAAATGTTATCGTTTTACACAATGTGGTGTAACGTAACCCTAAGAATTTTCTCAGATTTTATTCTATAAGAACTTTATCGACCTTAATCTTAGCAGCATCACAGCATGCAATAATTACACCAGTTATACAATCACGGTGTCATTCTTAATAAAATGTTGATTTCAAAGAAATAATTAATCAATTACATTGGACAATTTAAACTGAATAAAATTGATATTCGTAACATTGTTACACTCGCTTTTCCAGTATCTTATAAAACAAAAATATATTTGCGTAAACGAACGTAGTGAACGTTACTTTATTTCGGTTGTTTTTCTCGTACTGCGCAATGTGGTATTTACGAAACAAACACCATTATAAAAAAATAAAGAAAAGATTATTGAATTTCATCTTATTGGTAGGTCGAATATCATTGTTGCAGACGGATGGACGATCGTAGTTTAAAGAAACGAGGTTTTTGTATATGAGCAGCGTGATGTCGCGCAGCTTACTGTACTGTATAGCGACCGCAGCTTGCCCATAAGCAAGTCCCTCTGTGACTCGAAACTAGTAGAGCTTTTCTCATTATATTTACGAGAGAAACCAGTCATTTTTATTTAGAACCAGGTTTATTAATCGGTTTCTGTTCAATTCAGTCCTATAGTTAGCTCTTATGACAACCACAAAAAACTTTGGGAGTGATGGTAAATAACCTCTATTTTCACACACACAGGTTACCGAATGCCTTGTCTTTCGTTTTCAGGGTACAATCAAACCGAAAATGTCGGTGATTCTGGATGCAATCGACCTGGAGAGGGAATACTCCCCCAGTCGGTGGTCGATCAGGTTTCCTACGGCCCTGGAAGTACTGCAAAACCACGTGAAGCATGTGACAACAGGTGATAACATTTTAACGACTTTGAACCTTCTAAACTTTACAAATTACGTTTTAAGATAGGCTAATGTAGTTATTTCCTTTTCTTTTTGATAAGTGTGAGAGAGCCATACTTCGGCACAAATAGGCCGGCTCGACCGTAAGAGCTCTTGCACATTATAAGATACGGACACAAGACAAGAAAAATGTCTTGTCTGGTGTATCGTACACATTCATGCAATTCGTCTTATCCTCAGTCTGTAGCCACAATTCACGGAGGATACACGTGTACGAAATGGACAGACGACAGCGTCTATTATTGATTGCATACTTGTACCATAGAAAAAAACGCCGTAGTTGTAGGCGCCATTGGATACATCCATTAAATATAACAAGAATCAATGATGGGGCATATACGAAGTTGGTACCAAAACTATTTTCCGCTATTGGCAATTCTTTGAAATTTTCTATTAATATGAAACATATTTCATCCCATGCGGCTGTCTTCAAATTCCTAAATTTATATTCCTCACAAGTTTTGTCCCAAATTACAGGTCTTTCTTCTACTAGAGCTATTAGATGTTCCATGTTCACTTTTATGGCACTCATGTTTGATAAAAGTTTAATTTAAATAAAAGCATGGACACTACACGTCTAATCGCTAGCGCAGCCGCGCCGAATGTGCACGCGCAAACTTGTTTACATAGCTGAGTAGATGTCGTGTCTAAGCAAGACGTCTTGTGTAGACACGACATCGAACATGCAGCCGACAAAATGTCTAGTATGTGCGTGTCTTATCCGACATAAGAAAAAATATCTTGTAATATGTATGGTCTGATATAACAATCATTGCGACTGAATTTCTTATAAGACATTTCTCATAAGACACAAGAAAGTTTCTTATAATGTGCAAAAGGCCTAATGATACCACAGCCTCACAGAAAGCCGACGTGAAACAATACTTGCGTTGTCTTTCATCGTGTGAGTGAGGTTACCGGAGGTCCAATTACTCCTGTCCTCTCTTCAACCTCCCCAATCCTTAATCCAACTATCCTCAAATTCATAATACCCAAAAGGCTGGTAACGCACTTGCAACGCTTCTGGTGTTCCGGGTGTTCATGGGCGACGCTATCAGGTGATCCGTCTGCTCGTTTACCGGCTTATCCCATAAAAAATTCAAATCAATTGGTTTTGATATCTGCCGTTTAATAAAGTGTTCTTTGTCCCTCCAGTGACGTATAATGACTGAAAATATAATGAGTACATTTTAAGATTGAACTCTTCTTATTGCATTGTAGGTATATTTCAGCTTGTATGACGTAAGATATAAATGACGATGACTAATGGATGATAAATGTTATTACAGCCAGTGAAGAAGCGACAAATAACATTCCACACAAACTGGAGATCGAGTATGGATCGACACCTGGACAAAAACTCGACATACTTGGAACTGATTTACCAAATGGTAAGAATTTTTTTGAACCTAACAACAGTAACAACATCCTGCAATGAGGTAACAAACATTTTTTCTCGATTTCTTTACTTTTAAATAGTATCACCGGTCAGAGATAGTGACATCAAAATAGCAATTGTAGATAATAAAGTTACATTACTGCACGATGACGTCATTATTACAAATACAATAAGTACTTAACAGAAAGGATAAAGGAACTTGATTAATAATATATAATAATAGATATACATACTCATACAAACCTCATGACAGTTATATAGTCATTTGGCAATTCGTAATAGTAAAGTCCTCTAGTACCCTTTTACCTATCATGTCATAAGCTGAATTGAATGATTGGTCTACAAGCACTTAAGAAATTGAACACACTGTACCTACATATCTACTCACCTCAAAGAACAAGAGGAGTGCACTAGCGACATCTGGTGAGCAAAACTAGTATAGAGAAAAAATAAATAGTAGGTATAATATAGAGTGTTGTAGGTTTAATTTTATCTGTAGCCTAGATGAATTACAATCTTACTAACAACCTTTGTCTGTATTTTCTTAATTTGATGATATATGCAAATGTAAACTTATATAGATAAGTGAGAGCACAAAGCAAATGAAACACAGATAATAGTGACGCTTCAAGGTAGCTGTAGATAATGACAAAGTAGACTTTAAATGATATGCAAGGTTATCGAACCCTTTGTTCATATAATATGTTAATGCCATCAGTCCAACTCGATGAAAGCGACCTGTCATTTTTTTTTAAATGTGGCTGACACTAGTGTTTTCTCCTGTGCCGTGTGTGCGAATACAAAAAAGAAACTCAGACCCAGACCAGGGTAAGTTTTGAATTGATTCCGTGACAGATAGGACGGTGGGCAGCATCCTGTCTCCCAGCCATTGTGTTAACCATGCAGTCGATGCAGTTACTACTAAAAGCAACTGTGATATAGTGCGTGTGGTTAGACCAATGGTCAGGGCTGCGAGATTTGAAAATGACCTCATACATCTTTATTTATTTATTTACGGTCACAATAGTTGAAAACGAAAACCAATTAGAGTAACTGGACACATTAATAAAATAAACGATGAAATAATAAAAGTAGAACAAAACATACACAACGAACCAGAAGACTATAACTTATTTAAAAAATGGTAGCATTCATAAGTTCCTCTCGCAGTAGTTCCTACCCGAACAGAGGAGAACTATTGTCGACAGCTAAGTTAAGCGTCCGTAGATATAGCACTATATTTTCAATAATTCCTCAAGTGGATATTCCGGCTCCAAAATGTGTGTATTTGATATCTAGAAACGCGATACAAGAAAATATCCTAGTGTTTTAATAAGGAGTTTCGTAAACATTTTTTTTATCATCATCATCACCTTAGCCACAAGACGTCTGTATTGAACAGAGGGGCGTAAAGTATGGGCGTAGCCACACTGAGGCAAGCTGGGGCACTTGCCCTACCCTGGGCCCTGGCTCTGACCGATAAGGTGTCTGATTAAACAATGTTTTTTTTACTAACTCTAACTAACAACATCAACAATCATACTATCATTATATATGTTACCGGCCAAACCCGATTTTAGGACAAACTAGTTTTGCCTAGGCCAAACTAGTTCTTCCTATACGCATTAGGATTAACTAGTATAGCCTAGTTCAAACTAATTTGTCCTAAGCCCGATAGGATAAATTAGTTTAGGCTAGGACAAACTGGTTGATCCTTGGGGGAGACCATACAAAGTGGTTATGAGAAAATTGCGTCCTTGGGTTCCGCCTCTAACGGAAACCTTGAAAGCCGAATTTCTGAATCGAGTCATTTCTTGTCTCTTTCCAGATGTTCAGAGTGTTCAACCAACATTGCATACGGACTTAGGTTGGAATGATAATTTGGAGGTGACTGAAGGAGAATTAAGCAGGACTATAAGTCGCTTAAAAAATCGTAACACTGCGCCTGGCCCTGATGGAATCCCCGGTCGAGTATGGGTTCTTACGATAAAAGTTTTTGGAGATAGGCTGAGGCGACTTTACACTAGTTGTTTGAAACACGCCATCTTTCCATCAAAGTGGAAGGAAGCTGGATTAGTGCTATTAAGGAAGGCTGGTAGAGATGCTGATTCTCCCTCTGCATACCGTCCAATATGCTTACTTGACGAAGTCTCTAAACTTTTCGAGAGAATAATATCAGTTCGACTCAACGAGCATTTATCGACCGCTGGTCCAGATCTTTCTGAAAATCAATTCGGCTTCAGACAACAGCGGTCTACCATTGACGCAATTTTGCGGGTTCGTATGTTGACGGAGCAGGCGGTGCTTGACGGTGGGATGGCGTTAGCAATAAGTCTTGACATTGTTAATGCTTTTAATTCGTTGCCCTGGCAGGCAATCAGAAGCGCTCTTGTATACCATCGTTTTCCTATCTACTTACAAAGGATAATTGGGGCTTATCTTTGTGATAGGCGAATCCGTTATGTGGGACGAGATGGGAAAGTTTACTATAGAGAAGTGAATTGTGGCGTGCCACAAGGATCTGTACTTGGACCTCTCTTATGGAACTTGGCATACGATGCGGTATTGCGTGTAGGTCTTCCTACAGGCGTTAGTGTGGTATGTTATGCGGATGACACGTTATTATTGGCAACTGGAAATACATATGAGAGTACTGTTCAACTGGCGGAATTGGGAGTGGCTATCGTAGTGTCTGCTATTTGTGACTTAGGTCTAGAAATCGCACCTCATAAGACAGAAGCTCTGTGGTTTCATAAACTGCCGCGAGGTCGAGAAGCTCCCAGTTTTTCTGTTCGTATTAATAATACACAGGTTCAGGTTGGTCAATACATGAAATACCTTGGCTTAAACTTAGACAGTCGCTGGGGATTTGAAGAGCACTTCAACCGCCTTGTTCCCCGGATTGATAGAGTGGTGGGTGCATTGCACGGCTTACTGCCTAATCTAGGAGGACCTCGAGAGGAAGTCCGTCGATTATATGCAGGCGTTGTGCGGTCAATAGCCTTATACGGAGCGCCAGTGTGGTCACACCGACTGTCGAGAGTACGTCGTTGTAGACTTAAATTTAATAGCCTTCAACGTAAAGTAGCTATTAGAATTGTTCGAGGATATAGGACCATTTCTTTTGAGGCAGCTACACTCCTTGCACGTTTTCCACCTCTAGACATTTTGGCAGAAATGGATGCAAAAGTTTACCATCAAATTCGCGAGATACGTCATAATGGAGACAATTTTCCTCCGAGAGCTTTTGAACTACTGAGGCGACAAGAACGGAATAGCGCTCTGCAAAAATGGCGTGAGCGGTTGGAGGTTCAATTTGGTCATAAACGAGTGGTTGAAGCTATCTTACCAAACTTTGAAGCATGGTTCAGGAGGAGTGACCGCATAACCTATCGGCTTACTCAGATTCTTACCGGCCACGGGTGCTTTGGTGAGTATCTGAATAGAATAGGTCGTGAAGCCACACCTAGATGTCATCATTGTGGAGATGATCGAGACACCGCTCAACACACGCTTCAGGATTGTCCTGAATGGCTTGGCGAGCGACGTGTTTTGGTTGAAATAATCGGCCACAACCTTTGCTTACCGACTGTAATCTCAGCTATGTTAGCAGATCCAACAGCTTGGCAAGCCGTAGTCACCTTCTGTGAAACTGTTATGTTTCAGAAGGAAACTGCAGAGAGAGATCGAGAGAGGATAGACCCAACTCGGAGACAAAGGCGGCGCGGTAGGAATCGCCGTTGAATTTAACTCCGAAACGATAGGAGGTAGTAACATAATTTGAGTGTCGCAGGTGAGTTCGTTCATTCGAGTACCCAGTGACTCTCTCATTGTTTTCTGGGATTGACTGTGTGGTTTTAGTCGGTAAGAGTCCGACATAACCTGCTGTCTGACGCTCATTGTCTAGACAAAGGGTATCCATGAGGATTTCCACACGTTAAAAAAAAAAAAAAAAGGACAAACTGGTTGATCCTGACATAAATACGCACACTGTAGGATAGACTGGTATGGCCTAGTCTAAACATTCTAATAAATCTAGAAAGTCAAAATAAATAGATAAATTGAATAAAATACTCCGTAAATGGAAAAATAATAATTTTTATTAAACCATTATGATTCGTCATTAAAACTTATGGTTAATTGGTAATACGAACAATGATCCTATAACAAATAATAAGTGTTTTTTGAAAGAAGCAATAATTATTTTTTATCACATAACATCACGCCTTTTGTCCCCGAAGGCACATTATGCCACTGAACAATGTAACACCCACTTTTCACTATTTATGTTACGAGTCCCATGTAATAGGGGGTTAGCCTATTGCCATATACCGGGCACAATTCCAGACTCCGTGCTACTACTGAGAATTTTTAAAACCCAGTAACACTTTGCCCGACCCGGGAATCGAACCCGAGACCCCTTGCCTGGCAATCGCACTTGCGACCACTCGGCCAACGAGGCTGTCACACTGTTTTTTAATAGATGCAATAATCATATTATGACTAGGCCATACCAGTTTATTCTAGAGTGTGCGTCTTTATATCAGGAACAACTAGTTTGTCCTAGCCGAACCTAACGGGTAACCGGGGCTCCGGTTCGACGTGCAGGAGAAGGAACGGGGTGGTTTTTAGTCAGTAAGAGTCTGACACTCCCCTCCGCCTCACCCAGGCGGGAGCAGTCATTCGATGATTTTCCCCCCTTAAAAAAAAAAAAAAAAAAAAAGCCTAAACTAATTTATCCTATCGGGCTTAGGACAAATTAGTTTGAACTAGGTTATACTAGTTAATCCTAACGCGTATAGGAAGAACTAGTTTAGCCTAGGCAAAACTAGTTTGTCCTGAAATCGGGTTTGGCCGGTAACATATATATACTGGGGATATTATCAGAGATGATATCACTGACTGCGTGAAAAAATCAGAGGGATACAGTATTTTGGCTGATGAAAGCTGCGACATAGCAGGCAAAAACAATTATCTATTGGCGTCAGAAAA